CTGTAGCCCCAGCTGTCCTGGAACTCGCTATGTAGACCAGGCTGGCCTTGAACTCACAGAGATCCGCCTGCCTCTGCCTCTCGAGTTCTGGGATTAAAGGCGTGTGCCACCTCGCCCAGCTTAAAAAGTATTTTATTTAGTATTTTTATTTTATGTGTATGAGTGCTAGTCCTGCATGTGTTCCTAAGTGTACCTGTGTCGTGCAGTGCCCTCGGAGGTCAGAAGAGGATGTCAGATCCCTGGAGCTGGAGTTATGAATGGTTGTTAGCTGTCACATGGGTGCTAGGAATCAAACCACCTCAGTCCTCTGCAAGAGCAACCAGTGGTTTTTACTGCTGAGCTATCTCTCTAGTCCCTCTAGATTCTGTTTTTAAGTAACTATAGTAAATACCTGCATACTAACTCACTTTTTACTATTTTCTTCCAGTTTGTGAAGTGTGGATATGCAGGGTCTAACTTTCCAGAACACATCTTCCCAGCTTTGGTTGGACGACCTATTATCAGATCAACCACCAAAGTGGGAAACATTGAAATCAAGGTAATGTTTTATTTCATGTTAAATGGCAATGGGGACATATATGGTGATTATTGAATTAAGTAATTATGAAGTACAGTGCCAGGAAAAACAAAGGGCAAACAGGATTTCTCATAATGTTAATTTCTATCAACAACTCAACAAAGGCAAAACCTTGAAGCTTATTTCATCTGATTTTGTAGATGTGTGGCTTGATGCCGTTACTATCTGGGGTGTCAGATTTAAACTTTTTACATTGATACAAAACACTTGAATTCCTATTGCATAATTTAATTTGAAAAAGAAAGGCTGGTAATTTTATGTCTTGTGTATTTTTCATTATATCTTAGTGTCTCTTGGAGACACTTAGGCTTTTTTCTCCATATTTTCTTAGGGTGTTCTACTTTTTTAATATAGTCAGTCAGGAAAAACAGGAATGTAGATCTCCATGGTTCCTCTTTTCAGTATTACATTTGATTTCCACACTGTATTGAAGCAAGCTGTGCAGATCTTTGTTTGGTCTTGCACTGTTACCTTACCATGAGGGCAGAGGAGGGAAAGTTTGCATTACTTAATGATAGCCAAAGTACTTTACATGAGAGTCCTACATTAAGCACGGTAATTTTTCTCCCACAGAATTAGAAATCAAGCAGGAGTTAAATTATTTTAAAAGGGAGGGAGGGAGGGAGGGAGAGAGAGAGAGAGAGAGAACAGTTGAAAGATCATCAATTGACTTTACATTCTTCAGGTGGCAGAGACCAAATTATCCAAAATGCAGTGGGCTCTCTCAGTGTTTTTTTTTTTTTTTTTTTTCTGGAATAAGCCAGCATTGTTGGTCCTGTCGGGACAGCCTTTGGCAAGACTTCAGTGAACTGTTATCTTGTGAGTCATCTGAAGGCCAGATCAGGGTGTACATCTTTGGGACATTGTTTGAGATACCTAGAAAGGTACCAATGGGTGATAGAAATTTGCTGCTAGGTCTCTACTGTGGAGGCTGGAGAATTGAGTCACAGAGATGGAGCTTAGGTTCTGTGTTAGTTTTAAAACCTTAAATGTAAATTCTGGTCTCTGCTAGGTTAAAAAAACTAAACTGGTAAACTCAGTATAAGACTTTAAGAAAAGGTCTTCCAAGGAAAATTTATGGAATTCCTTATTCACTTTTTATGAACTTTTATTCTGATTGAATTCCATTTTAAATGAATATCAACTTGAAGTTTAGCCAGTAAGTGATAGCCAGTTTGTGATAAGGACAAACTACTGTTTAGAAGTAATACATTTTATTTGATGTCTGGCTGTAAAAATTTTTATGGATGGTAAAATTTTTGAGGCTTATAGAAATACCATGTTTAGCCGTTTTTATTTTCCAACATAGACACACAAAAACCCCTCATTTCTTCACACTCCCTTTCTTGCTTTTTAATGCCAAGTAATAGGAATCAGAGTGGCGACTTTTCTTGTGGGAAGATTTTTTTTAAGGGGAATGCCCAGTAGCATTTGCTACGGGTTTGTCATTCTGTGTTCTGTTGGCTCAGTTCTTTTCACTGTGCTGTCTTAACCCTTTCAGGTTAAATTGTTTTTCCTTTCACCTGAATACTAGAGCTTGGACACACAACCCTGAACTATCTAACTGTGCTTGCTCAGCCTTTGCTGTTATCACTTATTTTCCTTAATTGAGTTCTTAAATTCAGTAATGAATTTGACGTTTTGGAATTCCTGTGCTTAGTGAATTGACTTACACTTTTATGTCTTGTTAGCTAAAATGTGATGGTAGGCTAAAACAATGGAAATGTAAATCATCTCGTTATTTTCATTTTGGAATAACTGTCCAGGTTAATTTGGCCCTGATTATTAACTCCATTAAAATATAGTAGTACTGCATCTGACCTCAACCTAATTTGTCTCTGTTGCTTGTATGTTTAAAAATTTCAGTGAGGATTTTATTTAGGCCTTTCTGACTCTTACTTCTACCTTCTCTCTCTTCACCTTTCTTGACCTGTTGAAGTAGAATAACAAAAAGATGGTAAGTGAGGTCACACATGCTCTCTGTTTGTTTTCTACTTTTGCTTGGTGGGACAGTAGTTGTTGTTTTGTGTCCCTTTAGTATTGGGGAGGGGGATTCCATGTTTTTATTTTAAGTGCTTTAATTTTTAACCTTTTTCATTGCTTCAGTTTGGTAGCAACTAATAAAGTCCTATACCTTCCTGATTGCATACAATAGATCAAACAAGAACTAATTACTAACATAGTCTTGAATTGTTTTCCTTGTAGATTAATGTTACAATTAAAATGGAATGTGCTGTATATAATATTAGAAATGAAGTAGCTTTATGTAGGATGTATGTGATACAGAAAATGGGGGTAAAGTTACATTTGGACATACTCACTTTATTGACTGGTGTTATACACTGCCATATTCTATGTATATATTCGCAGCCAGTGTGCTGTCATATATGTATTTAGTAAACTGAGTAAAGTTTTAATATGCAAATGAATCATAAATTTAAAAAGTAATGAAAGAGAACCTGTTTCCATGTCATCTTTATTGATGAGATTTGACATCTGAGAATAAATTTTTTTAAAAAGATAAAATACCTATAAGGATTTTCCCCGAAATCAAAGAAGAAAAAGGCCCCTCCACCCCTTAAGAAAATACCATTCTGTGGTCTCTCTTTTCAGTTAGAGGCTTGCTGGGCCTATCCCAGACATTTGACTCTTGTTACTACATTTTTCTGTAATAGACTTGTTTTGTTTTGTTAGACAGGATCTCACTTTGTATCTCCAGCTGGCCTGGAACTTGCTATGTAGCCCAGGCTGGCCTCAAAGTCACAGAGCTCTGCCTCTGCCTCCTGAGTTTGTGATAATCTTGAGAGTGGAAATTCTTAAATTTTTCCTAAATTAGCTGGACGTGGTGGTGCACTCAGGAGGCAGGGGCAAGTGCAGGATCTCTGTGAGATTGAGGCCAGCCTGGTCTGCATAGTAAGTGCTAGGCCAGCTGGGCCTACAGGGAGACCCTGTCTCAACAAAAGACCCCCCCCCCAAAAAAAATCCTGAATTTATGAGAGCTGAAATACTAAAAATGTTTCTAGAAAGGGTGTGTTTAAGGTTGTATTGTGTTAAAAGCTTGTGGTTGTTTTTGTTTTCTAATTCAAAGTGACATTGTTCAAAATCATTCTTGGCAAATATAGTAGTCTATACTGTATAAATGTGTTTGAAACAGTGTCACAGTTTCTGTGGTTTTTCAAGTAGTAGGTGATGGTTTAGACTTCAAGTTCAGTGGTGGGGTAATAATAAGAAATTGAGGCTGCTTTGATCACTTACAGTGTGGTTTTGAGGGAATAAGGGGAAATTACTTAAGATTCTTAGCTTTTGTTTTATTTTTTGTTTTTGCCTTTTTTTTTTTTTTTTTCCCTAGCTCACCTGGAACTCCCTGTGTAGACCAGGCTGTCCCTGGATTCACAGATACCTGTCTGCCTCTACCTCCCAAGTCAAGGGTTAAAAGCATATACCACCAAGCATGTCAGTAGTTTCTTGTCTTTTGTCTTAAGACAAAATCTCATATATCCCAAATTGGCCTCAAACTTACTGTGTAACTGAGTATGACTTATAATTCTCCTGCCTCTACTAAGATTACAGATTTGTGCCATGCTAGAAATGGAACCCAGGGCTTCTTGCATGCTAGGCAAGTACTATACCAACTGAGCCATATCCCTGGCTTGTTACGTGTATGAATATATTGCCTGCATGTGTGTAAGTGCACTCATGTTGTTCAGTGCCCACAGAGGCCAGAAGGCCTTGGATCCTCTGAAACTGGAGTCACAGACGTTGTTAGCCACCATGTGTATGCTGGGAATTGAACCCGGGTCCTCTGCAAGAGCAGCTGATATTAACTGTTGAGCCGTCTCTCCAGCCCCTTGTTCTAGGTTTTTAAAAAACTTCTTAGCTATAGAAAACATTTTTCAAAGACGTTAACACTTCTTCCATTATATTTTTATTTATTATTTTGGTTTTTTATATTTTGGTTTATTTTTATTCCATATGTATGAGTGTTTTGCCTATATGTAAGTGCACCCATGTTGTGCATTGCCCATGGAAGCCAGAAGAGTGTGTCAAATCCCCTGGACCTGGCGTTATGGACGATTGTTAGCTGTCATGTGGGTGCTGGGAACTGAACTTGGGTCCTCTGCAAGCCATCTCCCCAGCCCCCTATTTTTATTTTTTGAGACAGGGTTTCCCTGTAGCCCTAACTGGCATGGAGCTTGCTATTGAGCCCAGGCTGGCCTTGATCTCACAGAGGTTAACCTGCCTCTGTCTCCCAAGTGCTGGGACTAAAGGCATGCACCACACCCAGGTTTTCTTCTGTTTTAAATGTATGTTTTGTACAGAGGAAACTAAGGATGATCCGTGTCCAATATCCGTTTTAGTTAATTCTTTGTAGTACCTGTGGTCCTAAAAGTAGATGCATGAGACTTTTACTCTCCGTTGACAGTGTCAGGCATATGTAAACCCCTGTTCTTATGAGGGATAAAAAGTAAGTATTCTGTTGAAATTACATCATACTCTAAATTGGTTGGATAGTGATTATATAGACCAACTAATTATCTAAATCAGTTATCTTATACTGTACAGGGAAAGATACGTTTATTATAGAAGGTAGTAAATAATTTAGTATTAAATTATACTTGTTAATCAATTAACACTACATACATGCATGAAAATGTTGTAATGAAGCCAATAATTAATATATGCTAATAAAAGACATTAAAGTAAAAATATTATACTTGTTAATGGCCCAAAGTAGCATATATGTTGACAGGTATAGATTTCATCCTTCTTTAAGCAGTGTTGAGAATACTACTCCTATGTTAAATGGGTTTCACAGAATCTGTACACATATCACCTAGACTCCTATATCAACATCTGTTCTGACTTATTACACACCTTGCAAACAGTTAGCCAGAGTCTACAAGTGCAGGTCTTTTTAGCTTTGCATATTCTTCCTGAAGATTCTAAATAGTAGTTAAGAAATTTGAGTCTCCCTATGCTCTGTTAGCAAGCCCAATAAACGAGTTAGGATTTAAAAAAAAAAACAGAGCTAATGGAAACCATTATTCTACCAAAGTTGATCCCATTTTGGCAAATCCTTTGGTTTCCTTCCTTCCTTCCTTCCTTCCTTCCTTCCTTCCTTCCTTCCTTCCTTCCTTCCTTTTCTTTTCTTTCTTTCTTTCTTTCTTTCTTTCTTTCTTTCTTTCTTTCTTTCTTTCTTTCTTTCTTTCTTTCTTTCTTTCTTTTCCTGTCTTTTTGAGACAGGGTCTCCCTGTAGCCCCAGGTGGCCTGGAACTCACTATGTGGACCAGGCTGGCCTTGAACTCCTGGAGATCTGCCTGGCTCTGCCTCCTAAATGCTGGGATTGAAGATATGGGCCACCATGCATGGCTTTGGTCTTTGATTTCTTATCCCTACTTTTCCACCCTTAAACTTCATTGTATTTATATTTTTATGTAACCTGCTTAAAGTTATTTCTGGAAAAATATGTTTAAAATTGTCTCTCTTTGGAATAATAAAAATATTCTAAAATTTTTAAAAATTGAAAAAAGAAATAACATAGATTTAATTCACACATACAGAAAATTGAGTCTTAAAGTTTTAGGGAGGTGGCTGGAGAGATAACAGTGGTTAAGAGCACTGACTGCTCTTGCTGAGGACCTGGGTTCGGTTCCCAGCACCCACATGATGGCTAACAATGGTCTGTAACTCCAGTTCCAGGGCATCTGACACCCTCTTCTGACCTCTTTGGGCATTGCATGTATGGATACACTTAAACATCCATGCAAGCAAAACACTTGTACACATAAAATAAAAATAAATGAAAAAAACTTTTTTTAGTTTTGAGGAAATTAATTCTATAAAGTTTTAGTGAACTTTGTTTCCCTGTTTTGATGTTGCTGTCAGTGGATTATCCAGAAATCTGGTTTTTGATAGGTTCCTCATTCTGATTTTTTTCAAAGTTAAAACTCAGACTTTTCTGGGGAGTTGCTAGTTTTTTGTTGTTTTTCCCTTGGTGCTGCAGCCTGAATATAGGGCCTCATACATGCTAGACCAGCATTCTACCACTGAGCTGTAAATCCCGCCCTAAAGTTTATAGTCTTCAGAGCTCCATTTTACATCATCTCATGTTAATTTTGCTGCTTCTTTTCTTCATTTCTCCATAATTTGGACTGTCAAATAGTAGCTATTTCTGATACTATTTTTTTTACCAAATTCATAAAGAAACTGGTATTATTTAATGTCTAGCTCACCTAATTCTAAACATTATTAAATATTAGAATATCATTTACCTTGTTATGTATACAAAGTTCGATTATATTTTTCAATGTGGGTTATTTTAAATATGCTCTCACTGGAGACAAGAGTCTTGTGAGTATTGTGCTTCATAAAAGATAGCGTCAATTTCAAATATTACACCTTAAGTTCAAAAATTTTTGCTCATGGGGTAATTTTTAAAGGAGCTCTTCTGAGACACAAAGACATTTGTGAAATCTGTATTAATTGGTGCATATATGTGCATTATAGAGTAATGAAGAATCATTTTGTTTTTCACATCTGCATTTATATAAATCACTTTCATATTTAGTACAAAGAAATGTGCTTGCATGCATTGAGCATTTTCAGGTTTCCCCCATGTGCTATTTCACATATCATAGGACTTCATTTTTAGATGAAACGTCATATAAAACCCTTTAAAATATGAGAATATGGGGATTATTTGTGCTAATGCTCTTCTTTTGGAAATATATGTGTTGAAGGTAAGGTCAATGTTTATTGATTTAAACACAAGTACATAAAATATCAAGCTTTATAAGATATTCATGAAAGAAAATATTTTTAACTTTGAAATAAAATCTTGATCTGAGAGTCCCAGAAAGTTTAAAATTTAATTATCCCCAAGCTTTCTTAAATAATGAGAATATAATTTTCTAAAGCTGCTTTATGTAAAACTTTGTTTTAAAGTTTTCATGTTACCATTTTCTAGGATCTTATGGTTGGTGATGAGGCCAGCGAGTTGCGCTCAATGTTAGAAGTTAACTACCCAATGGAGAATGGCATAGTACGAAATTGGGATGACATGAAACACCTGTGGGACTATACATTTGGACCAGAGAAACTCAACATAGACACCAGGAACTGCAAAATTTTACTCACAGAACCTCCCATGAACCCAACCAAAAACAGAGAGAAGATTGTAGAGGTGAGTTTTTGGTTTGGGTCTGTGTGGGGGTGTTGGTATGGGTATGGTGGTTGTTTTTTGTTTTGTTTTGGTTTTTTGAGACAGGATCTCCTTGTAATCCCAGCTGGCCTGGAACTTGCTATGGTAGACTAGGCTGGCCTCGATCTCACAGAGCTCTCTGCCTGCCTCTGCCTCCCAAGTGCTGAGATTAAAGGCATGCACAACCACACCTTACTAGAGATAAGTTTTTGATGGGACAGATATTCTTGTGTCTTTGTAAATACATTGTTTAATCAAAATTATTATTATTATTATTATTGCTACTGCTAAGGATAAAGGGATTTCATTTACTACAGATTGAGGGTTGCTAATCTGAAACTTTTTGAGCATTTTTATGATCATGAGGTTTCAGATTCTAGAACATTCTAGATTGTAGATTTTTGGATAAGGGTACTCCACTGGTAAATTGCAAATATTCCAAAAATCTAAAACACTCTAAAATCAGAACTATCTCTAGTCCCAAGTATTTTGGGTAATATGTATGCTAGTCATTCTAAATAGGGCATATTAGCAAACAAACCAGTATCCTGCTGTCATGAAGTTGTATTTTAGTAGGTGAGAACATCCCTTTCCCCACAAAAATCCCTAAGTGATTAAGTTAAATAGCTTTTTAGAAGGTAGTAAATCTGAGGAGAAAATTGCTGAATAAGGGTAGTAGGAAGTTACCTAGGTTGTGGTAGTGAGTCTCCATGTGAAAATAAACTTTAAACAAAGACAGAGTGAGGAAGTTGCTCAGCTTGGAAGACAAAAGAGCACTCCAGGCACCAGTGACGTGAGCATTCTAGAGAAAGCAGGGAAGCCAGTGTGCCTAAAGGTGTGGTTGAAGGGAGAACTCAGGAAGTAAGATCTGAATAGCAGTAGTATCTTCTTGACCCCAATAGGAAGTTGGACTTTTTCTCTGGGTGAGATGAAGAGCTGCTACAACAAAGAGTTATGCTCTGGCTATCGTGTTGTGAGTGCATACAAGGGAGGGGGTGAAAGAGAGACCGGTTTGGAGACTTAGGGTTATTTAGATAAAAAGAAAATGATGGTTAGTATTGGGTAGCAGTAGAAGTGTGAGAAGTGACAAGGTTGGGGTCTGTTTGGAGGCGGTCCAAAGAGCTTTTCTTTGGTTTAAATATGGATGATAAAGGATAGTCAGGAAAGCTTTGGTTTGTGTGAATGAGGAGATGGGAAAAATCTGAGAAAAGTAAAACAGTATTTAAGCTCAGTGATTGTGAATTTAGTTTGGGGCATGTTAAAGTTTGATGTTCCCATTAGAGATCCAAGTGGAAATCAATAAAAAAAAGTTTGGGCGTGGTGGCGCACGCCTTTAATCCCAGCACTTGGGAGGCAGAGGCAGGTGGATCTCTGTGAGTTCGGGGCCAGCCTGGTCTACACATAGTTCAGGCCAGCTGGGGCTACAGGGAAACCCTATCTCAAAAAGACCAAAAAAAAAGGCTTGGGACTTGAGATAAAAACTTTGAGGTCCTCAGAACATACATGATACTTTCACCAAGGATGTGAGAGGAGATAGCAGGGAAAAGGCCAGCGACCAGAGAGAGGAGCAAGCAGAAGGTACTGCGATGTCTAACACGGTGTAAGCAGTTACATAGGAGAGAGGGAGCAGGGCAGCTTCAGCCCTGATAGTTTAAAGTCTTTTTAAACTTATTTTTTGTGTATAAGTGTTTTGCCTGCATGTATCTAAGTACCCATGTCATGCAATACCTGAGGAGGCCAGAAGAGGGTACCCTGGAACTACAGTTGTGAGCCACTTGTCTCTTCTGGGAGCTGAACCTGGATCTCTCTGCCAGTGCTCTTGACTGCTAAGCCGAGTCTCCAGCCCCCAGCCCTGATAGTTTAGATGATGGTTTCTCAGGGCTCTTTTGTTTTGCTGGCCTGTGCATACATAGCAACATTGCTACAACTACCAGTTGGAACCACAAGTTTTGATGAGTATATATTCTAGAGTTTTAAAATTAAAAGTCTATATAGTTCTCATTGTAGTCAATTGTTAAATATCTAGATAGAGAGACAACACTGCTAGTCAAACAGTGCTCACTATGGATAACCAAAAGATTTTCTCAGCTAATCTGCCTGCTGAGCATGAATGTGGATGTGACCAGAGGGGCTCAAGGAAATGTCTCCTGCCTCCAGTGTAATTGAGGGTGAGGCAGAGTTACTACCTGGGCTCAGGTAGAAGCAGTGAGCTGGGTAGCTAAGCAGGCTCTACATCTGTCAACTTAATAACTATTGGTTTTTGTCTCTCCCTCATTTTACCATTCATTCATTCTAGTACTAGAAATCAGACTCAGTCTCCTTTATGTTAGCAAGAACTCTTCTAATGAATTACACCTCCAGCCCCATTTCTTTTCTTTTTTAAAATGTGTTTTAATTTTGTATGTGTGCATGTTTTACCTGCATGTGTATAAATGACCCATTTCTTGCGATGCCCCTGGAGGCCAGAAGAGGGTGTCCGATCCTCTAGAACTGGAACTACAGAGGGTTGCTAGCCACTGTGTGTATGCTGGGAAGTAAACCCAGGTCTTCCGCAAGAACAACCAGTGCTCTTAACCACTGAGCCATCTCTCTAGGTCCTCCCTGCCCCACACCCAGCCCTATTTCTTTTATTATTTATTTGTTTTTAACTGCTAGGGCTAGAGCCAGTCTTGATCCAGGTTGGGGGACATGGGTAGGAGACATAGTAGTTAGGTAGATATATTTTTTTCCACACACAGGAGTATCACAGTATGCACATGGAGATCAAAGGACAGCTTGCAAGGAGTTAGTTCTATACCTTATGGGTCCTAAGACTCAAACTCAGGTTTTTAGGCTTGGCAGCAAATGCCTTAACTGGCTGAGCCATCTTGCTAGCCCCAAGCAGATACTTCTTTAAAGGATATCAATTAAGGATATTTTTGTATGAAACATTCCCTTTTTAAAAAAAAATTTATTATTGTTGTTGTTGTTTTACATGTATGAGTGTATTGCCTGCATGTGTGTGAGTGGACCTGTGTTGTGCAATGCCTGTAGAGGTCAGAATAGGGCGTCGGATCCCCTGGAACTGGAGTTACAGGTGGTTGTTGGCTACCATGTGGGTGCTAGGAATCAACACGGGGTCCTCTGTAAGACTAGTTGGTGCACTTAACTGCTGAGCCATCTCTCCAGCCCCCTGAAACGTTCTTTTATATTGACTCAATAATTTTGCTTTGTAGCCCATACCAAACGCCTGGAGACTCAGGAGTGTATATATCTGTGCGTGCGTGCGTGCGTGTATGTGTGTCCAAAGCCTAGTTCTAATAATTGGAATCAGAGAGACTATTATAGAGGCAAGAACTGGTTAGAATGGATGTCTCCTCAGGGTCCTTTGATGCGATCTTGATGTACCATGTGAGCATGAAGTATATAAATGTGTTTTATGTAACTTTGTATGTAAACCACCTTCCTTTTTTTTTTTTTTTTTTTTCCTTCTTTCCATTTCAGGTAATGTTTGAAACTTACCAGTTTTCTGGTGTGTATGTAGCCATCCAGGCAGTGCTGACTTTGTATGCTCAAGGTAAGCAATGCTTAACTCTTAGGAAGATGAATTCAGCCAACACGAAATACATTTTATACTGCAGAAATTTAATTTGTTGTAAATTACAAATCTAAGAAAAACCCATTATTTCTATAATACCATAATACTGTACTTGAAAACTTTCTACAGTTTGTGTGTGTGTCTGTGTGTCTGTGTCTGTGTCTGTTTGGTATATGCATGTGTGTGCAGGTATACATACCTGTAGAGGCCAGAGGTTGACATCAGTATCTTTCTCAATCATTCTCTACCTCATTTTTGAGACAAGGTCTCATTAGTTGACCTGGATTTCACTGATTGACTAGACTAAGCCTCTGGGATGCTCCTGTCTCCACCTCCCAACCTAGGGAGTACAGGTGTGAGCTGCCACACCTGGTTTTATGTAGTTCTGGGGATCTTGACCCAGGTCCTCCTGTGTGTGAACAGCAAGCACTATAGCTACCTTCCCAGCCCACCTCGCACAGTTTCTATTTCTTGTCAAGTAAATGCCATATACATTTTATTGAAGAATTATTGAATTATTAAAGATTTAAGCTAAAAGTGAAATCAGTTTTTTAAAAAATGGGTTTTTTTAAGCTGTTTTAAATTTGTATGTATCTTAGTTTGCTTTCTTGTTGCTGTGATAAAACACTGATCAAAAGCAATTTGGGGAGCTGGAGAGATGGCTCAGCAGTTAAGAGCACTGACTGCTCTTACAGAGGACCAGGGATCAATTCCCAGCACCCATATGGCAGCTATGAACCGTCCTTAACTCCAGTTCCAGGGGAATCCGACACGCTCTTCTGACCTCCGAGGCATTGCACGACACGGGTGCACTCACATACATACAGGCAATACACTCATACACATAAAATAAAAATAATAAAAAACATTTTTTTTAAAAAATCAACTTGGGATGGGTATTTCAGTTTACAACTCAAAATTTACAGTCCATCACTAAGGGAAATTGGGACAGAAACTGAATGAAGCAGGAGCCTGGAAGCAGGAACTGAAGCAGAGGCCACAGAGGAGCCCTGTGTAATCACTTGCTTTCTCTAGCTTACCCAGTTTACTTTTAAATTATTTGTTTGTTTGTTGGTTGGTTGGTTGGTTGATTGATTGATTGATTGATTGATTGATTAATGGTCTTTTTGAGACAGGGTTTTCCTGTAGCCTAGCTGGCCTGGGATTCATTATGTAGACCAGGCTGACCTTGATCTCACAGAGGTCCACGTGCCTCTACCTCCCAAGTGTTTGGATTAAAGGTGTGCGACACTATGTGCTGCCAGTTTGCTTGCTTACATAATCCAGGACCTGCCTGCCCGGGGGTGATACTGCCTACAGTGGTCTGGGCCCTTGAGGCCACATTAATCAAGAATCAGAAAAATGCCTCATAGACTGCATGCCCACAGGACAATCTGTTGGAGGTAATTCCTCAGTTGAGCTTCCCTCTCCCAGGTGTGTCAAGTTGACAGGACTGGCCATCGCAGTATGCTTTTTATTTTATGTGTATGTGTGCACCCCTGTGGTTCAGTGCCTTGGAGTTAGAAGAAGGTATTGGATCCCCCTTGAACCTGGAATTGTTGGCTGCCATGTGGGTGCTGGGAATCAAACCCAGGTCCTCTACAAGAGCAGCCAGTGCTCTTAACTACTGAGCTTTTTTTTTTTTTTTTTTTTAAGTGGGTTATGGGGCTGGAGAGATGGCTCAGTGGTTAAGAGCACTGGCTGTTCTTGCAGAGGACCTGGGTTGGGTTCCCAGCAGCCACATGGGGGCTAAAAACTAACTCCAGTTCCAGGGGAATCTAACTTCCTCCTCTGACCTCTGCAGGAGCACATGGCTCACTTACATACATGCAGGCAAGACACTCATACACATAAAATGTAAATAAATTAAATTTTTTCAAGTTAAGTTATAGAGGCAGAGGCAGGTAAATCTCTGTAAGTTTGAGACCAGCCTAGTCTACATAGTCCAGCCAGGGCTATGTGGTTACACCCTGTCTCAAAAAAAAAGTTTATAGCTGACAAAATGGCTCAGTGGGTAAAGGAGCTTACCACACAAGCCCAGTGACCTAAGTTTGATCCCTGAAACTCCTGTAAAAGTGGACAGAGAATTTGTTCTCAGCCTACACATTTTTTTAAATTTTTTAAAAAAATTTTATCTGTTACTTTTATTTTATTTTATCTGTATGCATGTGGTGCGTGGATGTAGGTAAGTGCACCCATGTCATGCAGTGCCCTTGGAGGTCAGAAGAGGCTGTCGGATCTTCTGGGACTGGAGTTACGGACAGTTGTTAGCTGCCATGTGGGTGCTGGGATTCAAACCTGGGTCTTCTGCAAGAGCAGCCCGTGTTCTTAACCGCTGAGCCATCTCTTGAGCCCCAGCCTACACATTTTTTAAAGTTCTGGGGCTTTTGGTCTGCCCCACTCCCATTTTGGGGATTTTGAGATAGTATCTCATGTAGCCCAGGATGACCTTAGAACTTGTGATTTTCCTGTCTCTCGAGAGTAGGAATTATAGGCATTTACCACCATGCCTAGCTAGGAACAGCTTGTTTTTCCTCAGAATTAACTCAACATTTTACAAGCATTTTTACTTTAAAAGAAAAACCTAATCTTTATTTTTATTTCTCTGTGTGTGTGTGTGTGTGTGTGTGTGTGTGTGTGTGTGTGTGTGTGTGTGTGTATTTGGGAGTACATACCATGTGTACTGTGGAGGTCAGAGGACAACTTTGTGCAATCAGTTCTCATCTACCTTTCCACGGGTTCTGGGGACTGAATTCAGGTTGCCAGACTCGCCTCTGCAAACCTCTTTACCTGCTGAGCCATCTTGCCTAACCCTGTTTGTGTTTTTCAGTAGCACAGCCAAACTTTGTCAAGCATACCTCTAATCCAGCCTATAAACTCAGCTCAGGAGGCTGAGGAAGCACTGCCTCACCAACAGATAAATGTTTTCAGTGGCAAGCTAGAAACACGGCAGCTCCCTTGATCTTTTGTTGTTGTTGGAGGGGGCAGGGCTCAGGGTGTGGTCCTGGTGGATTCAACCTAGGGCCTTATGCAAACTAAGCTAGGCTAGCACTATCTCTGAGGTACCCTGCTAGGCTTTGCTCTTTCTTTTCAATTAATTAATTTATTTTTTGTCTTTTTGAGACAGGGTCTCCCTGTAGCCCCAGCTGTCCTGGAACTCACTATGTAGACCAGGCTGGCCTCAAACTCAAAGATCCTCCTGCCTCTGCCTCCCAAGTGCTAGGATTAAAGGCATGTGCCACCGTACCCAGCTATTTTTATTTTATGTATATGAGTGTTTGTCTGCATGTGTTTAAGTGCATTCATATTGTGCAGTGCCCATGGAGGTCAGAAAAGGGTGTTGAATTCCCCTAAAACTGGAGTTACAGATGGTGTTTTCCTGGTTTTTAAATGACTGAGCTGATACTTTGACGGATGAAATTTAATTGTTCTAAGATTTCTAGGTATCTGATAGCAGGCATTTCCCCAAGATAACAGTTTCTAATGTGCTGTGACAAAAATACCAACAGGTAAAGGATGAGAACAGTTCTGCGTGGCGCTCAGTTGAGAGCATGCCTGTTATGCTTGAGGCCAAGGGTTCAGTCCCCAGTACTTCAGCAGTTCCTGTAATCTCAGCCCTGGGGAGGTGGAGGCAGGAGAGGGTCAGAGTTCAAGATCATCTTTGGCCACATAGTGAGGCTAGCCTAGGCTACTTGAGACCCTATCTCAAAATTAAAGTAACTAGGGGTTGGAGAGATAGCTCAATGGTTAAGAGCACTGACTGCTCTTGGCAGAGGACCCGGGTTCGATTCCCAGCACCCACATGGCGGCTACAAACTGCCCTTAACTCCAGTTCCAGGGGAATCCGAAGCCCTCTTCTGATCTCTGCAGCATTGCACGACACGGGTGCGCTCACATTTATGCAGGCAATATACTCATACACATAAAATAAAAATAATGAAATATTAAAAAAATAAAGTAACTAGATAAATTTGTTTCTTTGTTTTATTTTGTTTTGTTTTGAGACACCTTCTCACCCTAAGGTCCATGTTGCCTTGTTTTCCTTGATTTTTAAGTTTTTGAAAAAGGTGACCTAGACTTACTGGTCATTTTACCTCAAGCCTCCTGAGAGCTCGTATTTCAGGCAATGAACTACCACACCCAATGAGATAATTTCAACAGACTCTCTTACCATCTTGTAGCTTTGTATAAGACATCTTTCACAGTTTTCATAAGCTATCCACTATGCTTTAAAAAATTGCACTTTAAGGGAATTCAGTGATTAAGTTGATTTGAGAAGTGCCTTGAGCTTAAGGAACATGTTTGTTGTATAGTTCTAATTCTCAGTCTTTCATCCAGGCCCTTGAAGAGACACATGCTTGAACTAAAAGGCTAACAGGAAAAAAACATGAGGGAACACACTTGACCACCTATGACTAGCAACAAACTATAGAATAGGTAAATAACAAATGCTGACTTCTCAACCTCTCTAGTTGGTTAGTTCTAGTTTGGCATTTCTACTGCATTTGAAACTTCCTTTTTTTGAGACAGGGTCTCCCTGTGGCCCCCAGCTGACCTGAAATTTGCTATGTAGACCAGGCTGGCCTCAATCTCACAGAGATCTACCTGCCTCTCCCTCCAGGCGTGTACCATCAGACGTGGCTTCATTTGAAACTTTCCAGCTTTGATTTTTCTGATTTGGCTTTTATTGAAAAACCTTCTCGTTTTTGTGCAGGTTTGTTAACTGGTGTCGTGGTGGACTCTGGAGATGGCGTGACTCACATTTGCCCTGTGTATGAAGGTTTTTCTCTGCCTCACCTTACTAGGAGGCTGGATATTGCTGGGAGGGACATTACCAGGTATCTCATCAAGGTAAGTGAAAGGAAAATACCATAGAAGCAGGTGGCTGTTGTTTTTGTCGTTTTTTTTCCACTGACCTAACACAAAAATCAGTGTCTACAAGAAATTCAGGAGCTAGAGAGATGGCTCAGCAGTTAAGAGCATATACTGTTCATCCAGAGGATCAGAGCTCAGTTCCTGGCTCCCAGGTCAGGTGACTCACAGACCCCCTTATAACTCTAGCTCCAGGGAATCTAATACCTTCTTCTGGTCTTCACAGGCACCTGTGTACACACACACACACACACACACACACACACACACACACACACACAAATGTTTTTAAACCACACCTTTAATGTCAGCACTGGGGAGGCAGAGGCATGTGGATCAAGGCGTGTTAGATCGAGGCCAGCCTGTTCTACATAGCGAGTTCTAGGTCGGCTGTGGCTACAGTGAGACCCTGCCTCAAAAAACACACAAAATTTTTAATCTTTAAAAAAAATTCAATGTGGGAGCAGAGAGGTTAACCTGGGTTTGGTTCCCAGCACCTACATGGTGGCTTCACAACCATTTATACCTCTAGTTCCAGGGGATCCAGTGCCCTCTTCAGGCACCAGGCACAAACATGATGCACATGTACATGTAGGCAAAATACTCATACACATAAAATCTTTAAAAATGTTTTCAGTGTGCAAGGATTCTAGCAAATTTTTCATCCTTCTAGAGGAAATCACCCAATGTATCTGTGTTCATACTACAATCCATATAAGGTTTCCACAGATACTCTGGTGGTAAGAATCCATTATTTGCTGCTATTAAGAAATGCTAGTTTTGCCTTAAATTGGGTGCATTGAGTCTTCACCTTGACATTGGGTTTCTTAGTCTCCTTTAGTGTAATCCCTGGCACGTGGGGAGATTAATGAGAACTACAATTCTAAGCCAAAACTTTGTCTCAGGTACCCAGCAGAGTTCCTTTATATGTGTGTGTATGTATGTATCTGTGTGAGTGTATGTGCAGGTGTCTGTGAGTGCTCACTGAGGCCTGAAGAAGGCGTCAGATCCTTTGGAATTGGAATTACAGGTTGTTGTAGGCTGCATAAGTGGGTGCTAGGATCCAAACTCCAGTCCTTATGATTGAGCAGCAAGTACTCTTAATGAATGAACCAGTGCTCTAGCCCAGTATACTTTTTTTTTTGATTAAAAAAGAATTTATGTTAATGTGTATGAGTGTTTTGCCTGTATGTATGTCCAGTACCCATGGAGGCCAGAAGAGAGTCAGATAGCTCTGACTTTTAAAAGTGTACTTTGGAAGCCAGAGAGATGGCTCAGCTTTTAAGAGCATTGGCTGCTCTTACAGAGGACCCAGGTTTGATTCCCAGCACCCACAGGTAGCTAACAACCTCTTTAACTGGAGTTCCAGGGAATCTGATGCCCTCTTCTGACCTTGTCAGGTGTTGGATGCATGTGATGCACTTATGTACATGTAGGCAAAACACTCCTATACATAAAGTAAATATTTAATTTCTTCTTGGTCTTTTTGAAACAGGGTCTCCCTGTAGGTAGACCAGGCTGGCCTTGAGCTCACAAGAGATTTGCCTGCCTCTGCCTCCCAAGTGCTGGGATTAAAGGTATGGGCCACCATGACCAGCTATAAAGTAAAATTTTTTAAAAAATTAAATCATGCCAGGCATGGTGGCACATGCCTTTAATCCCAACACTCAGGAGGCAGAAGCAGGCGGATCTGTGAGTTTTAGGCCAGCCTGGTCTACATAGTGAGTTCTGGAGCTACAGGGAGACCCTATCTCAAAAAGACAGAAAAAAAAAAAAAAAAAAAAGCTATCAAAAATTACTGCACAACAATATTTTTTTTAAAAAAATTACACTTATTTATTAGGTTGTGGGTCATGTGCCATGGTATACCTGTGGCAGTCAGAGGACAGCTTACAATATCTGGTTCTCTCTCACCATGTGGGTTGCGGGATGGAACCTAGGTGATCAGGCTTACCAGCAAGTGCCTTTACCTCCTGAACCATCTTGCCAGCCCATGAACAGTATTCTTTAAAAAGTGCCTGTTTATATTTAGTGAGGCATGGCAGTCCATGTTGTCCCAGCATTAGGAAGACCGAGTTTGAGGCCAGCCTGAAAAATATAGTAAAACCCTGCCTTAAAGAGAATTGGCTATAGCTTGTTTTGCCCATCTGTTTTTCATGAACTTATGTTGTTCTTTGTGACACTTCTTATGGAATATGAAGTGTAAATCTGTACTTCTGAAAAGCTCAGCAGGAGCTAAGGATACATTGTCCATTGTGTTTGTTACTGTGATGTGTTGTTATTTGTGCATGTGGGTGTAGTGATGTATATGCCAAGGCATGCGTGTAGAGGTCAGAGGGACAGCTTGGTGGACTTGGTTCTTTCCCTCATTTCGGTGGGTTCCAGGGATTGAACTCAAGTTGTCAGGCTCGCATGACAGGCACTTTTGCCTGCTGAGCCATCTCACCAGCCAGCAGGCATTTCAGTTTTGCACAGTGAACTTTCAGATGTGTTATAAGCTTACCGGGTTTTTTTTGTTTTTGTTTTTTTAATACCAGCTGCTGCTGTTACGAGGCTATGCCTTCAATCATTCTGCTGATTTTGAGACGGTTCGCATGATAAAGGAAAAACTGTGTTATGTGGGTTACAACATTGAGCAGGAGCAGAAACTGGCCTTAGAAACCACAGTGTTAGTTGAATCTTACACAGTAAGTATATTCAATGTAAAATACACATGTCGTCAAAAAATGGATATCCATGTTTATCAGTATTAGCATAAGGACTCCAGTGGAGTCAGGATTTTGCTTTGGTTTCGTTTTGCTTTTTTTGGTGCTGGGCCTGGAACCTAGGGCCTCATGCATGCTGAGCAGATGTTTTACTGCCAGTCAGTAGTTTTGGGTTGTTATTATGTTTTCATGGGACACACACACACACACACACACACATATCTTGCTACATTAAGATTCTGCGATTTAATCACTTGGGATGCCGAGTAATGCATATTAAGACAAGAATTAGGTTAGGAGATGATTAGATATAAGCTATTATTTTGAAATTCTAGCACCTGGGATATCCTTTCTCAGCATATTCTGCACACTGTGATATTCCTGGGCTGTTAATAAAGCTAGGAAAAGATGTAGAAACTCAGTACAGCTTGGCACGTTCGTGCATGCCTCTTGTCCCAGCTATGTGGAAGCTGTGGCAGGAGGATCAGTAGAGCCTAGGAGTTTAGGACCAGTCTGGGCAACAAGATAAATCCTGCATCTTGAAAAAAAGGGAGGAAGGACATTCAATATAGTATAAAAAGGTAATTCTGGAGTTTTTGAAAAATGTGATTCCTGGCCAGGCATGGTGCCACATGCCTTTAATCCCAGCATGGCAGAGGCAGGCAGATCTTTGTGAGTTCAAGGCCAGCCTGATCTACATAGTGAATTTCAGCCCAGCTGGGCTATAGGGAGACCCTGTCTCAGAAAGAGAGAACGAGTCTAGAGAGAGAGAAAGGGAAGGAAGGAATGAAGGAAGGAAGGAAGAAAAAAAGATTCCTTCTCACATACTTTAAACAAACATGGAGTCAGTGTTCTAAGGAATGTACTTTGTAATTTTTTTTTTTCCTTTTATGTGTATGAGTGTGTTGCCTGCATGTATGTAAGTTCACCTGTGGCATGTAGTGCCCGTAGAGGTCAGAAGAGGGCATTGGATTCCCCTGATACTAGAGTTACAGATAGTTGTTAACGACTATGTAGGTGCTGGAAACTGAGCCTGGTTCTTCTGCAAGAGCAGCAAGTACTCTTAACAGCTGAACCATCTCTCTAGCCCCTGTAAATTTTGTTATTTATAAATATGTTGTTAGTGTTGTTAATGTGAAGCTCATTTTGGTGCCTTAACTCCAGCATACATAAGAATTTTTTTTTTTTTTTTTTTGAGACAGGGTCACCTGTAGCTCTAGCTGTCCTGGAACTCACTATGTAGACCAGACTGGCCTTGAACTCACAGAGATCCGGATACCTGTGTCTGCCTCCTGAATGCTGGGATTAAACATGAGAATTCTTGTTACTTAGGTCAGTCCAATAAATTGTGAGGTGGCATAAGAGAATTTCTACTTGACATCTCTTATTTAATTAAATATAAACATTAATCAGTTATAGTCACACACTCCAGTAGTTCCAGCACTTGGGAGGCAGAGGCAGGAGGAGCTTCACAAGTTGGAGGCAAAAAAACCCCAAATAAATAAATGTAAGCAAGTAAGGGTTTTCTGCTTAGATCATGTTAAGATGTTGAACTTGTTCACATCTTACTGACTTAAAATTATGCCTACATTTAGAGTTATTTAGGACCTAGTAACATGTAATTAAATTGCCTAATAAAATTCTAGATCCACGTTTTTTAAATTTTGGGGGTATTTTTGAGTCAGAATCTCACTGTGTAACAGTCCAGACTGGCCTTGAATTCGTGATCCTCTTGCTCAGCCTCCAGAGTGCTAGCATTACAGGTCCGCACCATCATGCCCAGCTGCCTTTTGTTTTGTTTTTTGCTTTTTTTAAGAGTGCGGATGCGGGTGTGGGTGTGGGTGTGTGCGCGCATGCGTGTGTGCATGTGGGCAGAGCTTTCAAGGGTTGGATTTTGCCTTCCACCTTGTTGAGGAAGGGTCTGTTGTTTCTGCTCTTGCACGATGTGCTTCAGGCTGTTGTCCGAAAGCTCCTGGCCATTCTCCTGTCTCCACCTCCCATCCCAATGTAGGAGTACTGGGAATACAAATGCACACTACTGCATCTGGTTTTGTATGAGTTCTGAGGATTGAACTTTGGGGCCTCAGGCTTGGTGGCTTTTAGCCTCTGAGCCATCTCCCTGGCTCTGTGACTAGCTTCTTAAACTTTTTTGATTAAATTATTTGACCAAAGTAGCATACAAAGTATTTTGATGGCAAAGTAATAGTTGTAAAGTATTTGTTGAAAAAAAAATGATTTAAAATGTTTTATGTGTCAATTCTACATTGAAAAATATCTTTTTAAAATCACAATTGTATTAAAATTGTAAAACAAGCAGCATTAATATTTCCAGGAACAATTGGTTAGGCAGCTATCATGCACATAGGTATTGGTGACATCTCCAAGAAATTCCTGGTATTTAGGGGCATTGCATGCCATTTGTAAAATAAGAACAACATTTTCTGAGCTGGGCATGGTGGCACATGCCTTTTAATCACAGTACTCTGGAGGCAGAGGTATGCAGATCTCTCTGAGTTTGAGGCCAGCCTGATCTATGTAATGAGTTCCAGGCCATCTGGGGCTGTAGGGAAACTGTCAAAAAACAAAAAGATCATATAAGTCCCCCCCGCCCCAAAAAACAGTTTTTAGGAAAAGGTATTGCTTTTAATGATTTTGGTTACAGAGCTGATGTGGGGGCTTTTTGTTTTGTTTGTCATTTTGAGCCAGGGTCTCCCTGTAGCCCCAGCTAGCCTGGAGCTCACTTTGTAGACCAGGCTGGCCTTGAATTCACAGAGATCCACAGAGTCCCGCTTGCTGGGACTAAAGGTGCATACCACCAAGCCTAGTAGAGCTGATGTGTTTAAGAAATTGCTGTTTCAGAGAACACTGGGAATTTGTGGTCTTTTGCTGATTAACACCTGGTTACTTTCTGTTTCTAGCTCCCGGATGGACGCATTATTAAAGTTGGGGGAGAAAGATTTGAAGCACCAGAAGCTTTATTCCAGCCTCACTTGATCAATGTGGAGGGAGTTGGTGTTGCCGAATTGCTTTTTAACACAATCCAGGCAGCTGACATCGATACCAGGTACACTAGAAATTATAGGCTGTTTCCATGTTATTTATATGAAATTAAATAGAGATGGCTCGTGAGTTAATAAAGAGTACTGGATGCTCTTGCAGAGGACCTGGGTTCAGTTCTCAGCACCTACATGGGTCAGATACACATTTTTGGTTAGAATACTTACACATATGATAGGTCTTTAGGGTGTCACATTAAGAAGTGATTTTTTTGTTTTGTTTTTGAGACATGGGCTCAATTTATAGTCCTGGCTGGCCTGGAACTCACAGAGATCCTGCTGGGATTAAAGGCGTGCGCCACCATGCCAAGGGAATTACACAGTATATTTTTAATGTAATCAGTTGTGTTGTACAATAGGACTGCAGTTAGGTATTTATTGATTAACATCTGCTTACTCAGCCCCCAGCCCCTGGTAACCACCACTGCTCTATCTACTCCTGAGCTCAACTTTCTATAGCAGTGGAACCATACAGTATTTGTCTTTCTGTGCTTGACTTCATTTAACGTAATTTCTTCCAGGTCTATCTACATTGCTACAATTGCAAGGTTTCCATTTTTAAGTCTCAGTTACATTTTGTTGAGTATGCCAAATGTTTTTAATACATTATGGTGACTTAGGTTGACTCTGTATCCTGGCCATTGTGCATAAAGCTGCAGTGACCATGGGAGTGCGGGCATCTCTTCAGCATGCTGCCTTCAAGTCTTTTAGATATATACTAGTGGATTGCTGAATCATTTGGTGGTTCCATTTTTAGTTTGTGAGGGGAGTTTTTATTGTTTTCAATAATAGTTATAATTCATTTATATCAAGGTATCTTTTTTTTTTTTGGTCTTTTTGAGGCAGGGTCTTCCTGTAGCCCCAGCTGGCCTGGAACTCACTATGTAGACCAGGCTGGCCTCACTCTTACAGCTGAGATTTAAAGGTGTGCACCACCACACCTGATTACATCAGAGTGTCTTAAACTTTCTGAACTTATAACCCCTTTTTGCCTAAGAAATTTTTATGGTCCCCTGGTATATAGGTATATAAGATAGATATACATTTATTGACAATAAGTAGTGAAGAAATGTATTTTAAAATGGTTTTTTGTATACATAAAATTTTACCATATATTAAAAATGAAAACGAGGGGCTGGAGAGATGGCTCAGTGGTTAAGAACACTGGTTGTTCTTGCAGAAGACCTGGGTCAAATCCCAGCACCCACATGGCAGCTAACAACTGTCCGTAACTCCAGTCCCAGGGGATCCAATAGCCTCTTCTGACCTCCGCAGGCATTGCACAACATGGGTGCACTTACCTACATGCAGGCAACATACACATACACATAAAATAAAAATAATAAAATTTTTGAAAATATACTGAGAAAGCTTAAAAAAAAAAAAAAGAAAATGAGGGGCCTCAGATGACTCAGCAGTTAAGAGCACTGGTTGATCTTGCAGAGGACCAGGTTCAATTCCCAGCACCCACATGGCCACTAAAAACGGTCCATAACTCCAGTTCCAGGGAATCTGACCCCTTCTTCTGACCCCCATGGGCATTGTACAGCATGGGTACACTTACACACATGAAGGCAATACACTCATATACATAAAATAGAATTAATAATTTTTTTTTGAGACAGGATCTGCCTGTAGCCTCACTTGCTATGTAGACCAGGCTGGCCTCAAACTCATAAAGATCTGCCTGCCTCTGCCTCCTGAGTGCTCTGTTTAAAGGCATGCGCCACTATACGTGGCTTAAATAAAATATTTTTTAAAAAAATAAAAATGAAAATGAGGCTGGAGAGATGGCTCAGCAGTTAAAAGTACTACTGCTCTTCTCGAGGATGCAGATTAGGTTACCAGCAACCACATGGAAGCTCACAATCACCCATAACTGCAGTTCCATGGGATCTGACACCCTCTTCTGGCCTCTTTGGGTGCCAGGCACACAATGGTACACATATATACATATAAGCAAAACATTCATACACATAAAAAGATAAAATAAAATTTTAAGGAAGAAGAAAGTGAATTCTGTACTAATAAAACAGATGGACTTACTTAATTTTATATAAAGAATTAAATCTTAAGTTGGGCATGATGGTACACACCTATTCAAGGCCAGGCTATCCCGGGTTACATGAGACCCTGTTTCAGAAAAAACAAAACTGGGATGTGGTTCAGTGGTAGAACACTTGCCTGGTGTGCATAACACCCTGAGTTTGATTCCTATCACCACAGAAAAATAAAGTAAATAAATCTTGGCTGAATATTGGGTACTGCAGGATGTAGAGCACAGTCAGCATTTCTCAGTTGATCAACGTTTTGTAATTATCAGTACTGGGTATAATGCTTCATATAAATGCATCGTACAGGGCTGGAGATATGGCTCAGGTAGAGTCCTAACAGGTGTGAGTCCTAACTTAAATCCCCAGTACTGCCAAAACAACAAAAACCAAATATATAGTGTAGAGTGACAGAAGGATGTTTAAGGCCGTTTGAGAAATCATTGAAAAAACTCAATGTAGCAATTCAAATACCAGCTTTTAAAAATCAATCATTCTAGCACAATATAATTGAAAGATACACTGATTTGACACTTAACATGCCAAGGAGTGATGGTAGAAAAATACTAAGTATCCTTGTATTCTGTATTAAATCATTGTGTTTTTATAAGAGCAGAAAACTTTGTAAGTACAGTTAAAAATGTGCAATTTATGACATACAGGAGTCTCAAATTTGAGCCACAGTGTTCAGGCAGCATTTGCTGCTGCATGGTGTGAGGACATGCACCATGCAGAACCAAGGCTGTATGTAGTGAAGTTGTGTGACCCAGCATGGGTGAGCCCTGCCAGAAACAAAACACCTCACATTCATTATGTTCAATTCTGGATTAAGTTTTGGTTGTTGCACCTTGAGAAACCTTTTACTGTTACACAAAATTTTCACACACACACCCCATATTTAGTTATGTGACCTGTTGCAGCTCAGTTTAAGAAGCTGTGATTTATGCTCTCTGCCAATGTACAGTGGTCCCTTTTCTGAACACCCTAACTTACCTCCTTAGCCATTCTAACTGGTATGTAATGATATCTCATAGCCATTTTACATTTCCCTGATGATTAGAGATGGTAAACTTTTTTCCCCTCCAAATACTGGTTGGGCATTTGTACTTTTTGTTATTGTTTTGAAATAGTCTCACTAACTAGCCTGGAACTGGCTATAGGCCAGGGTGGCCTTGAACCCAGAGATCCGCCTGTCTCCTTAGTGCTGGGACTAAAGGTGTGCGCCACCACACCCAATACATACATTTTTGTTGTTGCCGTTTGTGATGGTCTCATCTTGCTATGTAACTGAGGATGACCTTGAGTTTCTGATCATCCTTCACCTCAGTAGTGAGCCCCATTAATGCGGTGCTGTGGATTAAACCTAGTGTTTCTTGCAAGCACTCTCCCATCCTGAAATAAAAACAAAAAGGAAAAAAAAAAAATGATAGTATTGAGTACCATTTTCCTAATCTGAAACTCCAAATGAAATGTCCACCTTGTCTTCCTAGATCTGAATTCTACAAGCACATCGTTCTTTCTGGAGGGTCTACCATGTATCCTGGTCTGCCATCAAGGTTGGAACGAGAACTTAAACAGCTTTACTTAGAACGAGTTCTAAAAGGAGATGTGGAAAAACTTTCTGTAAGTCATCTGTTAATTCTTTTAAAACCTTGACAACCACTAGAGGGAGCAAGAAGTCTTTTAAACAGATTCCTATTTGCAGTTAAATAGAGCCCAGACAGGTGGGGAGAAATGAAGAAGAAGAAATAGAGCCCAGACAGGTGGGGAGAAATGAAGGTCTCTTCTTGTCTGCATTCAATTGTTGTGACAAAACACTCTGACCAGTACCAACTTAGGGAGGAAAAGGTTTATTCAGCTTACATCTCCCAGGTCACAGTTCATCAGGGAGCCCAAGGTAGGAACTCAGGGCAGGAACCTGGAGGCAGGACCTGAAGCACAGGCCATGGAGGATCACTGCTTACTGGCTTGCTCCCCTGGCCCCTGCCCAGCCTGCTTTCTTATGCAACACAGGCCCACCTGCCCAGGGGTGGCACCACCCACAGTGGGCTGGGCCCTCCCACATCACTCAACAATCAAGAAGATACCCCATGGACATGGCCACAGGCCAGTCAAATGGAGTCAGTTCCCCAATTGAGGCTCCCTCTACCCAGGTTTGTCAAGTTGACAACTAAAGCTATCCAGCACAAGGTCCTACCAGGTTACCTGTATATTGAGTCAATAGAGGTGACTGAGTCTAATGTCTTAGATCATCTAAGTGCTAGGGAAGAACCTGCTGATGCTAAGGAGAGAGAAACAGTCTCCTTTGGGTTTTTTGTTGTTTTTGTGGTTTTTGTTTGTTTGGTTTTTTTTGTTTGTTTGTTTAGACAGGGTTTTACTCTGTAGCCTTGGCTGGCCTAGAACTCACTATGTAGACCAGGCTAACATCTATCTCATAGAGATCTACTTGCATCTGCCTCTAAGTACTGGGATTAAAGGTGTATTCTGCCAGGGGCTGGAGAGATGGCTCAGTAGTTAAGAATACTGGCTGTGTCTGCAGAAGACCTGGGTTCGAATCCCAACACCCACATGGCAGCTAACAACTGTCCGACTACATTCAGGCAATACATACATACACATAAAAATAATTTTTAAAAAATAATTTAAATAATTAAAAAAAAATTTTTTTTTTAAGGTATATACTGTCCCTAGCCCTGTTTTTTAACTTTCAAATACTAACCAGCCTTCACATTTAGCCTCTCATGATTCTGATTTTAGGTTATTTTTCTGGCAGTTTATTATATATCTTATCTCCTCAGTGATGTCTATGTCCCCAAAACTCATAGCTTTTGAAATGGACTTTTTTTGGTGGGGTTCTACGGGAAGAGGAAGGTAGAGGCTTCAGTAAAGAATTGCTGCTGTCAGACCTCAAAGCTGTGAGTAGCAAGCAGGTAGACTGCATGAGAAGCAGTGTCTTTCCTGAGAGCAGTCGAGCAGCCCGGAGACATTTCCTTAAAACACAGCCAGGCCGGTCTGTTCACACAGCATTGTTCATTGTCACATGTTGTCTATGGCCATCCTACACCTGGCTTTGTGTAGTTGGAGAGGGTAAGAGCCTCAAGTATTTACTGTCTGACCCCTTAGAAAAACACTTGCCAGCTGGGTGTGGTGGTGTTCCTAGCACTCAAGAATATGAGGCGAGAGGACCTTGAGTTGTCTCATGAGTTCAAGGCCAGCCTGGGCTGTAATAGACTGTCTTAAGTTTACCAACCTAAAAAGAAAAAAAGCGTAAATAAAACAACTAGGACAGTATTTGGTCTCAGAATTGACTAATAAATACGCTGACATTTTCTGTGTCATAAATTTTTAGATCCCAGGTTTCATTTATGGGGCATAAAAACAATTTAGAATGACATGGTTACAATGTCTCTTTTAGAATTTGTGACTCTAAAAACTGACAAGTTATTTTAAGGTTTCTCTTCTAGATGCTGACTTAACATAGAGATTAGGCAATGTCCTTCATAGATAATAGTCACTGCAACCTATAGAACTCCCAGTTGTCTTTAATTTGGGTTACTGTGTTCACTTTCTTCAACATCCCTATGATTAATTATGACCATATTTGGCTTTATTTTTAGCACATTTCATTTGAATTTGAGACAATAGAAAATGAGTTTTGCTTATAAGAAAAGAACTTGAGGTCTGCGGGGGGCGGGGTGTTCAGAGATAGACCACGTGCGGAGGTGTGCAGGAAACCTTGACAAATCGCTCAGGGACTAAGGAAAACCTGCTATGATCCTGTTTCTGATTCTTGGGCACAGTGATTATGTGACTCACTGTTCAAATCAGTACATTAAAACTCTTGTCTCCTAATTATGAGCTTGGGACAAATTACTAAATGTTTCTGTCCCACAGATACCAAATCCTCCTCTTCTCCTTAGATCTCAGGATGGCTGAGGGGTTCAAAAGGACACATGCAAACGGCTTTTTCTGAAACTGCACATGTGACATCTTATGACTCTTTTCTCCTTTAGAAATTTAAGATCCGAATTGAAGACCCGCCCCGCAGGAAGCACATGGTATTCCTGGGTGGTGCAGTCCTGGCAGACATCATGAAAGACAAAGACAACTTTTGGATGACCCGACAAGAGTACCAGGAGAAGGGTGTCCGTGTGCTGGAGAAACTTGGAGTGACTGTGCGATAAACTGCAAGGCCTCCTCCCCTCACACTTCTGATGCTCTTTTTCTTCTGTCTCTTTCCTTTATTGCCCATCTTTGAACTCATTCAACTCCAGGGCTGAAAAAGGCCTTTCTGTCCCCTGTGACTGGAAAGGTCAAATTTTATTTTGGTGTCTTGGGGAAGCTTTTGTTAAGTTTTTGTTATGTGGGTAAATCTGGCTGTTTCGCGCAACCACCTCTACAAACAACTGGAGGGCACAGGTCTGTCTGCTACCTTGTTCTTCCAAGTAGGCCTTTAAATCATTCCTCTAGGCTTCCTATTTTTGCTTTATTGCGCTAATGCTGCTAGTTTTAGGGTTAGCACAGTAGGTGATATGTCTTTATTAGCATAAGAAAAAACTTTCACAGGAGCTTTTAGATATTACTGGGTGGGGGGTGGTAAGGGATGGGTGGGCAGCCCTGAACCTTTTAGGGCATTTTCTCTGTAGTGTTAGCTTTCAACAGTTACTGCTGCCACTTTAAGTACCTTAAAGCTTCTCCTGCTAACATCTTAGGGAAATATTAAGCTCAGAACTAAGGTGTTTGGGGTGGGTTTTTGTGTGATAGCAAATGGACGGTCTTTCTGTTGTGATTTTTGAGGTTTTCTGCTTCTGGGATGTAAGATGAACCTCACCTATAGTACTTCGACTTGGCAGGTTTTCTTCTTTGGGTCTGCCTGGAATGTTTCCCATACAGTAGACAAAGTAAGCTTAGTGTTTCATTACCATGTGGCTTAGGGATTTTTTCTTATTAAAACCAACCCGTCAGCCTGGGACTAGACTCCTAGACTCTGTCAGTCAAAAAGTAATGTTTAAAAAAATGCTTTTGTAATTCAGATTACAGATAGGAAAGTGGTTAAGGGCTGGTGTTTTCTAAATGCATTCTTTATCCCAGAAGCATTGAGATAACCCCATGCCAAGTACCATTCTTCAAAATTATACTTTTTTTTATAACTGGCCAGTTTTATTTAATAGAACAACAGATACATATAAATATATAAATAATTACTGGCAGTAGGTTGTAGCTGTTGGATTAAAAATAACATTGGGACTTGTTGCCAGTTGGGTTTTTTGTTTTGTTTTTTTGAGACCTAGGAGTAAAATTTTAGCAAAAAAATTTTACCAGGATTTAAATAAAGTGTTTGTATTGAAAGCCACTTCTCAGCAATCTTTTGTGCTAGAAGGAAAAAACGTGAGAAAGGTTAGCAGACCTTCCTGCCTGTGTCAGAAAATCTTATTTTTAGAAGTCCTGTTGGTACCGCTTGTTGTCTCAAAAATACCAAATAGTGCCCAGAAGTGAGTTCTGTCCAAAGTTGAAAATGAAATAATGAAAGTTAGATCACATTAAGTACAAAATGGTGATTCTGGGAGAAATATTTTCCTTCATTTAAAACATTCTTTATTAATAATGGATTTGAAAGAAACTTTCTTTTTCATGCTTAAAATCAGAAATTTTAGATTTTTCTTTTTTGGAGATAACTATAGTTAGTTTATATAAAATCGGCAGCAAAAGAAGTTAGTTTAATTACGCAGCTTCTGTTAACATGGAGGGTTTTTTTTTTTTTTGCCTGTTTTACCTCGATTTGAATGAATAGGAGACATTTGTGTGCATGCTGGACATGCCTTGCTGTACATGCATAGCCCACCAGCACTGTCTAGGAAGTTCCAGTGTGATGTGAGGCTCCCTGAGTCACCTTGGAATTCTTAAGTGTTCCTAAATCATGTCAAATACCCCAGTCTCATGAGTCCTGGGCCTCTGGCAGAATACCCACTGCATTGTAGACTTTTCCTTGCAGATGAATGGATGTACGCTTGGCCTTTGACCATGATTTTAAATATGGAGGTAGAAAACAAGCAAGAATGGGATGGACTCTTAAATAAATCAGTGAAAGAGCATTTATCATTTGTACCTTGAATGTAGAATCTGTTTTCATAATTCTTCTAGCAAACATGACTGTTAAAATTATGTATTTATATATGTGATAATTTAGAAATTCCATTTTATAGTTTTCCTATTCTAAAGTGAAATAATGCAGTTAATAATTTGGGAGTTGAGACATTGTCCTGCTGGAGGTACCAGGTTTGAGTCCTTCAAAAATGAAAAAAATACTGTTTTTTAAAAGATCTGATTTTTAGCTCTTGAAACCCATTGTAGCTTAGGTTTCCAATGCTAATTAAAATTCTTTTATTTTTAAATTAAAATCACCAATGCCTTGAGGAATTTCTTAGAAAATGTGGTATTGGGTGTTAACTTTTACAGTTCTGAGCACTGTTAGTATCTGGCAAGTATTTGAAAGATCAGTGGAAAGCTAAATATTCTGAATTGACATACATATACTTCTTTTTGATTAAGAAAATAAAATCAGATTTTTCAAAGTAATTTGAATTTTGTCTTTGTTTTCCTTTTAGTATTTTTCTCTTTAATTTCACTATTTTTACTTGTGCTTTCAGTTTTGCTGATGGACTTAGAACTTTACACCAATTAGTCCAAGTTTAGGTCAATATTCTGTTGTTTGTTTATTTTGAGGGTGTCTGGAGGATTGAGACATGGTCTCATGCCCAGCCTAGTCTTGAACTTGCAAGGAGGCCCTTGAACTCTGTTCTTTTGCCTCTTTCCTTCCTGATGCTGGAACTACAGGTATGTGCTACAGTCTAGTGCTTAGTATTCACAAAACTCAAAGTTTCTGGTATGGTTTCAAGAAACTATTTTGCTTTACAAGATTTCAGGTGCTTTCAGAAAATTAGCATTACAAGATAGACCTGCATATAATACTACTTCATGGTAGAACTGCATGTAACATGACTCTTCACAGTAGACCAGCATGTTGCATGACAACAAACAAAGCAACGGACATAGGGTCTGGAGAGATGGCTCAGTGATTCAGCTAAGAGCTCTGGCTGCCCTTGCAGAGGACCCGGGGTTTGGTTCCCAACACCCACATGGCAGGTAACAGCGGTGCATAACTCCAGGGGATCTGATGCCTTCTTTTGGCCTCCTTGGTATTGCACTTACGTACATGTAGGCAAAACACTTACATAAAAATAATTTTTTGAAAGTGTTTTTTAAGGCTGAGTGTGGTAGCACACACCTTTTAATCCCAGCACTTGGGAGGCAGAGGCAGGCTTATCTCTGAGTTTTAAGGCCAGCCTAGTCTACATAGTGCCAGATCAGCTGGGGGTACATACAGGAGACCCTGTCTCAAAAAAGACCCCAAAAAAGAGCACAGGTGGTTCTTTCAGAGGACCTGGATTCTGTTTTCTATACCCACATGGCAGCTAACAATCATCTGTAACTCCAGTTCCAGGAGATCTGAGAGGATTTCTGTCCTCTGCAGACATTGCATGCACATAGTGCACTTACAGGCAGATAAAGCACTCATACAAATAAAATTTTTTTTAAAGTTCATGCATTTGACTCTAAACAAATTGTTGGATATGCTCTATATAGTTCTTCATATCTGTTTATTTTTATTTGTGTGTTGTATGACTGTTTTGCCTGCATATATGTAAGTGTACCTATGTGTGCATTGTCCATAGAGGCCAGAAGAGGGTATCAAATCCCCCTGGCACTGGAGTTATGGATGGTTGTTAGTTGCCACGTGTGTGCGGGGGGAACCAAACTTGTGTCCTTTGCAAGAGCAACCTGTGTTATTAACTGTCAAGCCATGTCTCCAGTCCCTAAAAAAAAATTTGAGACAGGGTCTCCCTGTAGCCGTAGCTGACTTGGAACTTGCTGTATAGACCAGGCTAGCCTTGAACTCACAGTGATCCGCCTGCCTCTGCCTCCCGAGTGCTGGGATTAAGGGCGTGTGCCACCACGCCTGGCTGCTAAAAAAATTTGTAATTACATTTTTAATTTGACTTGTGTGTGTGTGTGCACAGGGTGTGTACACATGGAGTTCAGTGGACAAATTGAGGGAGTTGGTTCTTTATCGTGTCCCAGGGAATCAAACTTGGGTTGTCAGGCCTTTACTTTTACCCACAGCTGTCTTGCCAGCCTATTTAGGGAAAAACTTTCCTTCTGGTCAAGAAAGTGAAATCTGGCCTGGGTGGAGACCTAACATTCCAGTTGAGCAGGTCAGTAGCCTGGCAAAGGACCACCCCTAAGAACAGGCTTTCCTTAAGCCATGCTAAAGAGAGAAGAGGGAAAATTAAGCCTCATGAGACAAAGTACTTTTCCTTGCAGGTTCCTGCCAGTCCCTAAAAGCCACCATGAGATTCTGTTGAGTCTGCTTGCCTTGAGTCCTGACTGAGGTGCAACTTTCCCTTTTCTTCCTTTCTGCCTCTTTCTTTTGGGTGCTGGCCAGAGCCTGGGTTTTCTTGTTCTGATACCTTGGGCTTCCTTACTCATTCTCTAAAGCTCATCTCCCCACCTTGTGGCTGCTTGCCACTGTGTCTGACCTCCATGCCAGCTTAAACAGCATGGCTTTTTCCTTCCCTCCACTCTTCTCTAGGAAGCTGCTGGGACTTACAGCCTATCTGCCCAAGGGGTTTTTCTTCCTTTTAAAAAAGTTTTTATAGCAGGGTGTGGTGCCGCACACCTTTAATCCCAGCACTTGGGAGGCAGAGGCAGGGGGATCTTTGTGAGTTCGAGGCCAGCCTGGTCTACGTAGTGAGTTCCAGGACAGCTGGGGCTACAGGAGACCCTGTCTCAAAAAGACCAAAAAAAAAAAAAAAAATATTGGAGCCTGGAGAGATGGCTCAGGTTAAAAGCATTGACTGCTCTTGCAGAGGACCCAGGTTCAATTCCCAGCACCCACATGGCGTCTGTGAGCTGTCCTTAACTCCAGTTTCAGGGGAATCTGAAGCCCTCTTCTGACCTCTGTGCGGCATTGCACAACACAGGTGCACTCACATGGAGGCAATACACTCATACACATAAAATAAAAAAAAATTTTAAAGTTTTTGACTGATTTTATGTGTATGAGTGTTTTACATGTTTGTATGTAAAATGCACCTGTGCATGCAGTGCCTATAGAGGCCAAAAGAGGACATCAGATCCCCTGGAACTGGAGTTCCAGAGGTTGGTTTGCCACCGTGTGGATGCTGGGAACCAAACCCTGGTCCTCTGCAAGAACAGCCAGTGCTCTTAACTGCTGAGCCATTTCTCCAGCCCCCAAACCCCCAAAATTAGACTCCAACTGGGTTAATACTTTAAAAGTCCAATTAGTGGACTGGGGAGATGCCTCCACAGGCATTGCCAGCACGGGTGCACTATGTACATGCAGGCAAAGCACCACACTATAAATCAATTAAAAATGCTAATTTTAGTTGATAGTTACTAGGCAAAAAAAAATTATCCCTGTATTTGCTCTTTAGATCAAAGATAATTTTAGTCTGAGTTTTGAAAGGGGGTGTGACATGTCCTGGAACTATGGATAAAATTAAATGTAGTCTCTGGGTGTCGTGGCGCACACCTTTAATCCCAGCACTACAGAGGCAGAGGCAGAGGCAGATGGATCTCTGTAAGTTCGAGGCCAGCCTGGTCTCATAGCAAATCCGGGCCAGCTGTAGCTACAGGGAGACCCTGTCTCAAAAAGACCAAAACGGAAAAAAAAAAACCAAAAACTGCAGTTATCCCTTGATGTCTACAGGGCATTGGTCCAAAGACACCTCCCTCATCTGCCCATGGACACCAAAATACACAGATGCTCAAGTGCCTAATATAAATGGTGTAGTATTTGCACAGAACTTCACACATTTGCTCCTAATACACTATACATGCCTTGCAAATAGTTGTTACAGTGTATTGTTAAGGAAATAATAAGAAAAACATCTGTATATGTCAGTATGTCTTCAATCTGTGGTTGGTTGAATCTTCAGATACAGAACCACCAGATACTCTTGCCAGCTGTGTAGGAATGGAAATAGCCATAGATGATGAATACATATTTAATATATTCTATATACAGTAGACATTAAATATATATGAGCAGTGACCAGCTGCAGCTAAGTTTGTGAGCACGGTAGCTAGTTTCCAGTGCAGGAACCCTCTCTGAAGAGCAGTGTAACTGGAGTCCCTGGGTGGGAAGTAATTTTTCTCTTCTGAGCCTATTTTTACAGCTCAGAGAGACGAGCTGTTGAGGTTGGTCTAGATGGTGTGTTTTTGACGGTCAGCATATTTTCCTAGGGATTTTTGTTTATCAGTTGTGTCAGGGTCTCTATGTAACCTAGACCAGCCAGCCTCCCACCTCAACTCATGATCTTCCTGCTGCACCTCCTGAGTCCTGGGGTTACAGGAACCCCACCCACCCCCTGTTCCTGGCTCGTATTTTCTTATCTATGCCAGGCATGGTAGTGCACGCCTTTAATCACAACACCTGAGAGGCAGAGGCAGGAGGGTCTTTGTGAGTTCAAGGCCACCCTGTCTACATAGCGAGTTCCAGGCCAGCTGGGGCTACAGGGAGATCCTATCCTAAAAAAGACCCCCCCCCAAAAAAAGAGAAAATCACTTAAAATTTATTCAGCTGATTATTTTGTGGTGATGGGGTATAAGTGCCATGGCACACATGTGAAGGTCAGAGGATAGCTTTGTGGAGTCAGTCCCCTCCTAACCCTACATGGGTTTCAGGGATCAAATACTGGTTGCTACATTTACACAGCAAGTGCCTTTACCCAGTGAGCCATCTTGTTAGCCTATTTATCACTTTTTAAAAAAATTTTTTTTTTTTTTTGGTCTTTTTGAGACAGGGTCTCCCTGTAGCCCCAGCTGTCCTGGAGCTCACTATGTAGACCAGGCTGGCCTTGAACTCACAGAGCTCCACCTGCTTCTGCCTCCCAGTGCTGGGATTAAAGGTGTGCGGCACCACACCCGGCTAAAATATTTTTATTATTTTTATTTTATGTGTGTGAGTGTATTGCCTGCATGTATGTAAGTGCACCCGTGTCGTGCAGTGCCCACAGAGGACAGAAGAGGGCGCCAGATCCCCTGGAACTGGAGTTACATTTGTCAGCTGCCATGTGGGTGCTGGGAATTGAACCTGTGTCCTCTGCGAGAGCAACCAGTGCTGTTAACCACTGAGCCATCTCTCCAGCCCCATTAATCACTTTTTGAAATGCCTTTTTTTTTTTTTTTTTTGAGATGAGGTCTCACTGTGTAGCTCTGACTGACCTGGAACTCACTATGTAGAATTGAGGTCACAGAGATTTGCCTGCCTCTGCTTTCTGGGTGCTGCATTTAAAGGTGTGTGCCACCATATCTGGCCTTAACATGTGCTTTAAAAGAAGTGAGTATACTGATCTTTAAGACATACAACAGTGTGCGCTCTTGAGTGAGACTCTAGAGGAACTGGACTACTTGGCACACAGTGACCTCATTTCAACACATTTTCTATTTATTTATTTTTGGTCTTTTTGACATGGGGTCTCCCTTTTGTCCCAGCTGGCTGGGAACTTGCTGTTCCCAGTACCTGGAAACAGATGAGAAAATGACTTGTGGATTACAGACGAGAAGGAGCTTAGAAATGTGGGTAAAAGCCATAGTAAGAGTGGCAGGACCCCAAGTTCCCAGAAGGCTCTTTGCGCTGTGTCTCCTTCCTACTCCACATCTGGGCTGCAGAGCATGCCAAGACACTGACCATCTCACTGGGACTCAGGAAATCCTGTGCTGCCTCATTATTCTCAGCATCCCGAAGAACAAATTCCAACCTAATATCTTTGTGTAAATTCAAGTGAATTTAAATGTCACTGACTTCAGAGCAGTGTTGAGGGTTACTTTGAAAAGGGAAGGGATGTTGTGATGACTGGCAAACTGTTGGCTCTGAATGGGCCGAATGAACGTAGCCTTTCTGAACATCCACACACATTTGTCATTGTTCTTGATCAGAGGCGGTCAACAAGTGCAGACTGGAGTCAAGAAGTCATTTAGACTTAATCTTATTTTAAATTTCTTTTGTGTTTGTGGGCTCATGGAGGTGAGAGGACAACCTGTGGGGACTTCTTTCTTCTACCATGTGGGTTCCACCAGGCTTATATGTCTCAACAAAACAGTCTTGCTTTACAGCCCACCTGTCAGCCAACAGCCGGAAGCTGAGACAGGAGCATCTCCAGCTCAAGGGCAGATGTGGTGATGCATACTCTTTAGTTCTTCCACTCAGGAGGTAGAGGCAGGCAGATCTCCGTGAGTTCCAGGCCAGCCTGGTCAACATAGCAAGTCCCAGGTCAGCCAGGGCTACATAGTGAGACCCTGTCTCCAGGATAAATGAATAAAGAATTTTAAAATATTTATCAGCCGGGCATGGTGGCACACGCCTTTAATCCCAGCACTTGGGAGGCAGAGGCAGGTGGATCTCTGTGAGTTCAAGGCCAGCCTGGTCTCCATAATGAATCCAGGCCATCTGTGACTACAGGGAGACCCTATCTCAAAAAGACCAAAAAAAATTTTTTTTTAGCAGTGTATGTGCTTTTCTGTGCATGTACGTGTATACACATGAGTGCTTCATAGCATATATATTGAAGTCAGACAATAACTTGTGGGGATTGGTTCTCTTCTACCATATGGGTTCTAGGGGTCAAACTCAAGTCGTCAGGCTTGGTGGCAAGAGCCTTAACCTGCTGAGCTATTTCAGCCCTATTTTATTTTAAGTGTGTGTGTGTGTGTGTGTGTGTATGCTTATGCCACAGCATGTGTGTGGTGGTCAGAAGAGAACTTTCTGGAGATGGTTTACACCTACCATAGCCTCTGGGGGTCCACCTCAGGTTACTGTGCTTGCAGACAATCCTCTTCCTGCTAGGTCATCTCAAGGCCCTCCACTGCTCTCTCTTGTCCCCCTCTTCCTGCTGATCCTCTGACTCTTTATAACTAGTTTCCTTCCTTCTTTTTCTTTTTGGTGACCCAGTGAGTTTAATTAGGGTCGTTTACAGGAGCGTGGTTGAGAGGTTGTTTACAGGCCTACAGGCTGCACCACTGAAGAAAACATCTCTCCCCCAAGCAACCATCAACTGCCTATAGATCCTCAAGGAGGTGGGAGTAACACACACACACACCACAAATACCACATATACCACACAGACTACATATACCACACACATACCGCACGCATCATATACGCACACATATTACACCACACACACAGAGCACACATACTACACATACTATTCTTGTCATAGAATCTGCCCATCAGACCTGTCCACGTGGGAATCAGGTACCCAGAGAAACTGCTTCCTAGCTGAGTTCTTCAGGAAGAGTGGGCAGGGCACCTGGTATCATCAGGGTGTGCCCAGCATCAGAGCTGTAAGTGCTGGAGACTGTCTAGCTTCAGTCTCCTTGAAGGGCCACACGATTGACTTTGTCCTCCTCACTCAGTGGCCTTGCTCTGTGGCCTTCTTAGAGATTCTGTGTGCTCCCAAATAACCCTTAATGACTTCTTTCCAGCTTAGCTCACCCGGCTTAGATCATACTACCCTAAGTAAAAAGGTGTATCTGACCCAGCATAGCTAGGCCTACAATTCCATCTTAATGAAACCTGTGCTCAGCCATGAAGGACCCTGATGTAGCTCCAAAGCTTGGAGTTGAGCAACATAGAGAGGGGTTGATTCTCACAGGCTTAGGATAAGAACTCTGCCCAACACATAGAAGGACTCAGTGTTTACCCGAGTAAAGTCAACGCCCCTTTTCAAGAGAGCACCTTTGTTCAGTCCCTCCTTTTGCAGGATTAGCTCCTGAGCAGAATTCTCATGGGCAGAGGTTTGAAAGAAGAGCATATGGGGGGACTCTGCTCATAGCTCGATGAGCCCTGTTTTTAACCCAGCAGTAGTAGAAGAAGATTGGTAAATCCCAAATATGTTTTTCAGGAACCTTGAAGAGTTAGAAGTAATACTGAGGTAGAACAAATTCACACTAGGGCTTTCCCCTTCTCTCAAAACGCTGGCGGTAGGGTGAGGAGGTGCTGGGAGGGGTCAAATTTTACTAAATGGCTCTGAAGTACAGCAGATATGGAAGCTTAGAAAACCATTGTGGTTTTTGCGTTAATTTCTTTTCATCTTGTTTTGGGTTTTTTGTTTGTTTTTTAAGAAAGACAGGGTCTCTTGTAGTCCAGACTGGCCTGAAACTTACTATGCAGCTAAGAAGGACCTTGTACTTTTGATTCTCCGTCTCCACCTCCTGTGCACTGGGATTACAGGTATGTGACACCAAACCTGGTTTTAAGAAAGTCACTGTGGCCAGGTGTGGTGGCACACACCTTTAATTCCAGCATTCTGGAGGCAGAGGCAGATGGATCTCTGTGAGTTCAAGACCAGCCTGGTCTACATAGTGAGTTCCAGGACAGCTGGGGCTACAGGGAGACCCTGTCTCAAAAAGACCAGAAAAAAGGAAAAAAAAAAAAAAAAAAAAAAAAAGTCACTATGAAAAGTATTTTTCTTCATGTCTGGAGATTGTAGAGTTGTTCACTAAATACTCAACAAGTAGCCTCAATTCATTGCCCAGCATGGGCTTAGCTGGTGCTAGCTCCTGTAGGGAGTACTGAAGCAGGTATGTGGTGTGTTGTTCCCCACGATCATTTGAGTATCCTGAGATATCGTGGCCCTCTGTCTTAATCCCACAACATGGATTCCCCAAGGACAAGTGCGTATCCTAAGCAGCGTTTGTCAGTTGCCGCAGTGTGTCCTGATCATTCCCTCAAGCGTAGAATCAAATCCAGCCTTGGCTTTTCCTACTTCTGTACTTTCCGTTTTTTTAAATCTTTTCTGCACTGGAAATGGAGCCCAGGGCCTCGAGCTTGGAAGTGTTCTACCATTGAACTACATTACTTCTTTCTGTGTCCTTTGTGATGCTGACGTGTTTGGAAAACAGAGGCCAATCAATCCATGGAATATCCTCTCTGAATGCCCCTGAGGTTTTCTTCGGCAGTTCTGGCCCAACACTCCAGACACTGGGCCTGGGGCCTGCCGACACTAGGTTCCATCACCAGTCGGTGTGTGCTCAGCTTCCTCAGTGGATGGCTGCTGCTTTCTGCCTGTATGTCATCATCCATCTGTGGAGCTTGTCCCCAGGACTGGACATCATGGCCAAATGGAGGAGCTACAGGGATGGGGATGAGAGAACCAGCCTGCACACCCCTCACTTGGCCATCCTAGCTGCATGACCTTGGACAGTTACCATCTTCTCAGAGCCACTTTTTCTCATCTGTAAGATTGGATAACTTTTCCTTCCACTTGTTGAGAGGACAAACCTGAGGTTCTCAGCCTTCCACAAGTGAGCACTTTCTTGTTGTCCTTTACCCTTATAAAGTTACTTTAGAGTCTAAAGTTGAGGACACTGGGCTGGTCTCTCACTGTTGTTTCCAGCGCTATGAAGGACCAAACAAGACCAAGCAGGGCACCTCATGGCACGAGGCACAGGAAGCCAAATATGTACCAGCTGCCCAGTGGACAGTCTTCAGCGCTCTGGAAATGCCAGGAGCCAGGGTGGAGTGGCAGTGAAACAGCCACCTTGAGAGGGATTGCCACGCTTGGCTTGAGAGTCAGCGTTGGGAAAAGAATCACTGGGAAAGGGACCATGAGACTACCCAACAGGATCCAGTATTCTATCCGCCGTACCCCAGACCAGAGGCCCCAGTGTGAGGCAGAATTTACCCTACTGCCAAAGAATGGTGCGCCCCTTGAAAAACACCCCCCTTCTCTAAACTTCCATGTTCTCACCCGTGAGATGGTCTGTAGTTCTCACTTCAGGCTATGTATTAGAATCAGTAGGGGAAATTCTAAAAGCACCACAGCTACTCCTGGGCCCACCCCAGAACACTTGAATCAGAACCCAAATGCCGGAGTTTTCTAAAGTTCCCCAGATGACTCTATCACACGCCAAATGTGCAAACCACAGCCTAAATAATGGTCAATGTCCTCCTGGGCCTTTGGTTTCCATGAGTCCATGCATGGAATATTCTGAGGAACTAGATTTTCTGGTGAAGTTTGAATTCACCACCAGAAATTCCCTTCTGTTTCCATTCCTATTTCTGAAAATTCTAAAGTGAATACATCCAAATAATCTTGGAGGTCCTGCCACTAAGGTTTCTATGGCCATATAAGAATGCTTTCAGAGGAAGTGAGTTTTCTGGTAAATTTAGGACTCAAAAATTAGTTTTGTTGTTTGGTTTGGGGTTCTTTGGCTGGGGGGGGGACCTCTAGTCCATGCTGTCCTCCAACCCACTATTTAGCTGGGGATGCACTTGAACTCCAGATTCTCCTACATCTCCACTTCCCAAGTGCTAGGGCCAAAGGCATGTACCAGCAAACCCACTGAAATTTCTTTTTGTGTTTATTTCCAGTTTTGAAACATTTCTGAAGTTTATAGTTTGAACTTCCTTCCTACCTAGGGCCAATAAATTCACAACACAATACTACCACATGCTCTTAAGACAGGGCAGACATGACTAATGAGACCCCAGCTTCCATGGACTTTCCTTAAAAGTCCAAGGCAGTCACTACCAATCAGTCAAAGCTGATACTCTAGATGAAACGTATTTGCCAGTTTGGATATCAATATTTCTTTCATAACTGCATATGTTACACACCCTGAAAGGCAAGATTACAAATAACACTTCTTCCTCTTCAAAACCTCTAAATAGGAGCTAGAGAGATGGCTCAGCAGTTAGAGCACTGGTTGCTCTGACAGAGGACCCAGGTTCAATTCCCAACACCTACATGGTGGCTAACAATCATCTGTAACTCCAGTTCCAGGAGATCCAATGCCCTCTTCTAACCTCCATGGGCACTGAAGGACACGGTTGCACCTATGTATGATACATGCAGGCAATACACTCATACACATAAAATTAAATAATAAAATATTTTAGGGGCTC